CGACTGGCATGCAGTGAAGAGGCAAAGTTGGACGGCAGAGGAGCGAAAGCTGCTGCTGTGGGGCAGGCGTGAGCACGGACAGGATCATGCCATCACTACGTTCACGCGCAAGGGGCTGATGCCCGATCCTACATTCGACTCGCCCCTGCCGACCACGGAGGGCCTGCTCAACTGGCATGTGTGCACGGTTAGTGGATTGATCAGTGGAGTGGTATGTACGGATGGCACTTGTATCTTTCCGCACTGCGAAGTTCGTGCTCTTGCTGGCTGGTCTTTCGCGATGATCAATGATGCGGAAGGTACGGTTGCTGCTGCGTCGGGGCTTGTACCCTACCCGTGGCAAATTTCAGGTGTTAGTGAGATTTGGGCCGTGATCCGAGCGTTGAAGCACAAGTCCGAAGGGCGCATCACTATCGTGACGGACTACAAAGATTTTAAGCAGACATGTTGGAAGGCTACACATACGGCTGCAGCTGACATTGCCATTGAGTTGTGGCCAGTGTTCGGGGACGTCGTGCACGACATTGGCGCCTCGGAGATTGACGTGATCTGGATTTCCTCGCACATGTCGAGGACGCAGGCCATCAACCGTAGCGTTGTCATCTCCAGTTGGAAGGGAACTTGTGCTGCGGGTAAGATCTGCGAAGCTGGGCGCCGACTGCCACCCCCTTCAGCTGCCACGAGAGAAGTTGCGAGAACTCAGGGAGGCGGCGGTCCCACTGATACTGAAGTGCGTGCTTCGCATCCTCAGGCTGTGTCAAACAGGGGGTTGGAAGGACGCTCAGTAAGTGAGTGAGGGAAGGCCTGTGCGTGGCCTTAGTCTTGTCCTAAGTGAGGACGGGGGCCACTTAACTCAGCGCTTCCAGGGGCGGCGGGTGTGCGGGCGGTACGGAGATAACCGAGGTCGTCGTCGGGGCTTGGCTCTCGCTCCGTGCCTTGGGGCCTCAAAGGGGTCCGCGAAGCGCACCCGTCCCACAAGCTCTGGCAGACTGGTCCCATGGTTTGGTGTCTCGTTTGTGCTGCTATTTTTTTTTTTTTTTTTTTTTGGTCCCATGGTTTGGTGTCTCGTTTGTGCTGCTATTTTTTTTTTTTTTTTTTTTTTTTTTTTTTTTTTTTTTCTCTAGGGCCTTTTTATTATTCAAACCTTGTCTTGGGAGACCGCCCCTGGGGTCCGCGATGCACTTCAAGCGTAGGTACCTCATCCATGGGCGGTGTCCGTCAGGTGAGAAGGTGGGGAATTGTGTCAAGAAGCATGTGCCCATCTTCGCTCGAGGCGATCGGTAGCAGTGATTTTCCTTCGTCATTATGATTATCGTTTTGGTTTGGTGCATCGATCTCGGCACATCTCGTCGTCATCCAGAGCCTCCTCCTCCTTCTCCTCCTCCTCCTCCTGGTGGCGTGAAGCGCTTCCGTCGGCCACACGCAGGGGTGGCCTTCTCGCCAGTGCCCATGTCGTGCGGGCGCACTGGGCGCCTCTGCTCCCAGAGGGCCGCGTGCCCTGGGCCCCGTTCTGGCGGCGTGAAGAGATCACGTCGGCTACAAAGATCACGTTCCTACCGATGGCCTTGGCCACACGCGGTTTTTACCCTACCCAAGCAGCGATGGCACTCCAAATTCTACTTCTTCCACGCCCCCCCCCGTAAGAGCGACCTTCCGCCACTGCCGCTTCGGGCGGGCACCCGCCCGATGCGATGGGTGGGCGCGATGCGATGGTTGGCAGCGTCCTGCGCGCTCAGGTGTAGTGTTCCGCGGCTCCCCCAACCAGTGGGCAGCGCACCAGCGGCCTCTCTTGCCTAGGGTTGTGGGAGTCGATTAATGGAGAGGAAGCGTGCTGCCAAAGAATTTCCAGGTGTCTTCAACATGTTTCAAACATATGTGTACGATGTAAAAAAAATACATGTTTGAAACGTGTTTAGAGCATGGCTTACAAATGTTAAGTACATTGTGAATTCAATGATAGGATTGTTAGAGTGTCCATTGTCGAGGCGTCCACAAGCCTAGGGTTACCCTGGCGTGCAGCTGATCTCGTCGGTCGGGGGGCTCGAGATCCATCCTCCCTCCCCTCGTGCCCTCCGTGCCCTCGTGCCCTCCGTTTTCCTCTCCCTACGGTCGGTTCGTGTCGTGTCCACTGGCGGCGACCCCGCCAGCGGCGTTCAACGTGGAACGCCGCGGGCGACCCAGAACCGTTCGATGTGGAACGATTTTGGACGTTTCGGAAGCGGCCGATCGTTCAAGGTTGAACGATTCCCGCGGTGTCGGAAACCGACGCCGAAGTCGGCACGACACGGACCTGACGTACTCCCCCCTCCAACCCCCCCATCCCCCATCCAACCTTGCCCCTCCGTCCCTCCCCCTTCCCTCCCGAGGGTGTCCGAGGCCCGGCTGACTCGGCTGCCTCGCAGTCGTCTGCATTCGGTCGGCTTGGCTTGGTTCGGTCCGTTGCGGCGCCTCTCTGGGCTGGTTCCCGTCCGTCGGCTCCAGCGGGTTTTTCGGCTTCGCTATCGGATCGGTCGGTATTCGATTTTGATGCCGCCGTGGACGCCTTGGCTTGTCTCCCTCCCCATTCTATCGGGGGCGGCCAAGAGGGGGGTGATGACTAGGGGTGGGTGGGTATCATGGCATGAGCCATGATGTCTCCTCAGACTTCGTGGCGCCTCTTCTTATTTCAAGACGTCCCCGACGCGCCCCCCCCCCTGGGCCGCGCACATGCCGCCGGCCATGACTTGCGCCCACCCCCTCTTGGACGCCCCCCTCCTGGCCGCCCCCGATGATGCCGCCGTGGGCGTCTTCGCTCCCCTGCCTCCCCATCCTACAGCGGAGGCCCATGCCCAGAAACACCCTGCTTGCCTCCAGGGTGCCCTGGATTTCTTGTGTTTCGGTGGCCTCGCGATGGAAAGCGCGACGCTCCCGCACCAGAAATCCGTGGACGTCCTGGGGTCTCAGGTATGGGCTTCTTGTGGAAGGTTTCCTGTGGACTGGCCTCCCCTGTGGATCGGGCCGGACGAAGGGGGGGGATTCGGAAAGGGGGGGGTACGAAATCTGCTGCATGCAGCTGGTTTCGGCCCCAGCTACATGAGCTGATTCTCAAACCCCCCTTTGCTATCCCCCCCTTTTGTTGGGTCCGACGCGTCGGAGTTGCCAAATCGAATTCGGGCGCTTCCACTGATTGTGGCAAGCGCGAGTCCTGGATCAAAAGTCTGGACGCCCGAAATGGGTACGGAAAGAATGGGTACAATGCCTAACAGCAGTTCCTGTTCATTTTGAACAGGGCTCGCCGTCGGTGTCGCCGTGGGCTGTGTCCGCTTGAGACAGAAGGCCGCCTGCCCAACAGCGGCCGCTGTTGGTTTGGGACAACATCTGTTGTTGGGCACTGTGCCCATTCTTTCCGTGCCCACTTCGGGCGTCCCCCCAAAAAAGCATGGCGGTTCCGCCCAGCCCGAGTGGAGCACTCGGGCTGGGCCATGATAGTGGAGGAGGAGGAGTTAGGAGGAGGAGGAGCAGGAGGAGGAGGGGAGGAGGAGGAGGAGGAGAGGAGGAGGAGGAGAGGGGCGGAGAGGAGGAGGTAGGAGGAGGAGGAGGAGGAGGAGCCCTCGGGGAGCGGTCCGGAGCGCTCCTGCAGACGGAGGCCGCGGCGGCCGCGGCGGCCTCCCGGGCCCGCCGGCTCTCCCGGGGGCTGCCCGAGGTCCCCTCGGCTTATGGCGCTCCAGCCTCTCCTCCTCGATCCTCCTCCTCCTCCTCGATCCTCCTCCTCCCCCTCCCTCCTGCCGGCTCCTCTCTCTCCGCTCCTCCTCCTCCTCCTCCTCCTCTCCTCCTCCTTCCCTCCTCCTCCCTCCCCCTCCTCCCCTCTCCTCCTCCTCCCTCTCCTCCTCCTCCTCCTCCTCCTCCTCCTCCTCCTCCTCCTCCTCCTCCTCTCTCGGCGGTGCGCACGCGGGGGGTGCAAGGTGCCCAGACCCCGTCGCGCAGCGAGGGCACACAGGGCGGGCAGTTCTTGACGTTTTCGGCCCCAGACCGTCAGGAAACAGCTCAAGATTATGATGCTCCAACCTACTTTAGCCTAATTTAGCCTTGATCACCAGAAAGAATTTCGAGCGCCAGAAAAGTACCGAAACTCGAGGGTTTTCACGCGTCGGGTCCTGGGAGACACTCGCCCGACACCGTTTCGACACTGTTTCGACACTCTTTTGACATTTGTCGGGGTGCTCGGAATTATTTCTGGGATGCGGTCCTTGAGTAGGATGGGAACAACATAACCCTCGGCCGTTGTTTTTGTTGTGCATGAGGGGAAACAAACACACTGACACAATCAATCGACGATTCCCCAGAAGATATGGGAAGACATGGGCGGTGGGGGGGAAGACAGAAACCCAGAAGAGATGGGAAAGTATTGGGAATCCCGTTGTTTGTGTGTATTTGTTTGTGTGTCCCAGGGCCCCTTCAGTTGTGCCATCCTGCCCTTGTCTCATTCTTTGTGGACGACGATCGATGGAGAGGAAGCGTGTCCCCCCCAAGACAAGATCCAGATGTCCAAAATATTGATGTGCGTGCACAGGGTTGAATGGGAGTTGCTCGGAGTCAGGTTGCCTCTGCGTCTGTCAACCGCAACCGTTTTCTCTCAAGTTTCTCGCGGGATGAATCGCGGGCAGGCCGCCAGCACAGGGGCGGTCTTTGTGGCCTTCCTCGAGGCAGTCTTTCGACCGCCCCTCACTCAGCCTCTGCAGATCCATTGCCCTGGCAATGGCGGGCCCTGGCCCGTGCGTCCGCCTTGTACAAGCCTGACTGGTCCGCCCACGCTGCCCACGGAGGAGTTCGACTTGAGGAAGTGTGCCGTCGGCGGGGAGCCCGTCGACGGCGAGCGGACTGGTGGCTCTGCTCGTCTGCCTCGCCGTGGCGATCAACACCGTTGGTTTCGTTGTGTCCGCCTGCCGTCGTCGACGCTAGGACGCTGGTGGCATCGGCGGGCGGCGGGGCGGCGCGGGAGCTCTGGGGACGGCGGCGGCCAGGAGAGGCGTACCTGGCGCGGAACGAGGACGACTCGGTGTGGCCCGAGAGGATGTGTCTCTGGTCGAGGGCCGAGGAGAGCGTCTGGATGATACTGACTCCCGACGGGCACGCGTACGCCAAGAGCGTCGTGGGCTACGAGGACGGGCCCGCCAAGACGCACGGGGCCCGTGACGGCGCGCGGCCAGGCGGGTTGCGAGAGAGCGTGTACCGTCCCAAGGAATGCCCTGGGACGCGAGAGCTGAGAACGCTGATGGCGGAGGCTCGCGAGGAAACGGCCCTGGCGGCGACAGGCGCCCCTCTGCCCGTGATCTCAGTGTGCGTCAGCCCTGGAGGGCACGAGAGACCGATCGGGACGTGGCGGGGGGCTGCAGGGGGAGTCGCTGTGGGCGTGGACGCGCTGCCTGCTGCTGGGGCTGACGGTTTGCCCGCAGGGCTGACGGTGGCCACCGCGCTGCGGTCGCCTCCCGAGGGGAGGGTCTGGGCGGTGGTAGACCAGTCGTTGGACTGGGAGCGCGTCGGCGAGCAGCTGGAGGTCGGCGTCGGCGACCTGATAGCCGGCACTGGCTATCAGGGCGGAGGTGGAAGCAGCCCCAACACTGATGGAGACGTTCGCACAGTGGTCGTAGGCTTCGATGCTCAGGGCAAGGGGTACAAGACCTGGCGGGGAGTGGAGGCGGAGATGTCGCGACACGTCTTCTCGGACTGGCCGGCCGACATGCCCCCGACTGCGACCCAGTTCTGCGCCCAAATGGAGAGAACTGGATGTGTGCCGTCTGTCTGGCTGGACAGGTGGGCGCAGAGTAAGGAGATCGCGAGCGGCGATCGTGTGTACTATGAGTTGAGGACAATCATAGACTCCTTTGGAGTTCGCAGGGTGCCATGACCAGCTCAACCTCGGGTCGCTGTCGATTGCAGAGCCCCCCTGCTTGCGAGTGCAGACCATGGTCGACGCCTTCGAGGCCGATCCGAACAAGCCTAGCTTCGAGAACGCGAAGTACCTCTCGGGACTCGCGAGCTTGTCGGATGTGGCGTGGCCCGATTTGAAGATTTTCGCGGTCCGACGGGCCAAGGAGGAGACCGAGGTTGAGGAACAGCGGCAGGAGGTCAGAGAGCTTCGCAGCAAGGGCGACAGCTACAAGACTGTTGCCGTAGGGGGGAGGAAGTGATCGAGGCGGCTGTGTCTGGGACCACCGGCGGACACAGCACGCATATGAGACTGGTGAGCCGTACCCGAAGGAGCATTTCAACCTCGAGAAGATTTTTCCTGTGCCGTTGCTCGAGACAGAGCCCCCTGCTCGTGGTCTCTCCCGTGGGGTACGTCAACGAGTCGGGCGTCGGCGCGCGTTGGGCAACAGGGCCAACGAAGTTTTGCATGCTTTAAACTGGATGTCGGGCTGCGGAGTCGCTGCTGAGGTATGTCGAGCCCCCGCAATCGCCGCCCCCGTCCATCGAGAGATCTACGAGCGGGTGCTGAAGGCTGTCCACAGCTGGAGGCCGCCTCGCCACAGTGTCTCTCAGGAGGAAGCCGCGCGCTTCTCCGCGCCGAGTCGGTGTACGACCAGGCGCACACGACTGCGACACCCTACGAGGAGGGCAAGGTGTCGCTCCCCGCTGACGTCCGCGACGCGAGGTACGCAGACTTGATCGGGGGCACACACGCCCGCGTTTTGCTCGAGAGGTTTATCGAACGTAATCGGCGGAGTTCCGAGGAGTTGAGCGAGCTCGATCACGCTTTTGGGGCTGTTAAGCCGTACATGGACCGCCGCTTGGAGTCGTCGCCTCGGCTCTGCAGGAGGTCCGTGCGCCAGCTTGACCAAAAGGGCGTGATTCATCGGACGAAGGCCCCCAAGTGTTTTATCTCAGTGTTCTTCATCAAGAAGAAGAGTGGGACCTTTCGTATAATCACGGATGCGAGACCTGTTAACAGACTTGTTCTGCCACCCCCTGGAGTACAGTTACCACTGAGGGCCTGGGGCCAATCGAGCTCCAAGGGGAGGTCGCCCACGTGCACATGGCGCAGGCGGACGTCGCGGACTGCTTCCACCGGCTGCGGATGCGGGAGGAGCTCGTGGAGTTCTTTGCGACGCCGCCTCTGTCGGCGCGGGCTGCCGATCTGCTGGGCCGCTCTGGTCTGGACGTCGGCTCCGAGGAGGAGCTGTGGTGGCCTTGCTGCGCCACCTTCCCGATGGGTTTCAGCTGGAGCCCTGCGGTGGCGCAGAGCGTGAACCGAGTGCCATGCGGCGCAAGGGCCTGGGCTGGAGCTGGCGCCGCCGATGGCGGATCGCCGCGGCCCCGCGGTGCTGCGGGAGGGCGCGGCAGCCGCGCACTAAGTGCGCGTGGACAACCTCGGCGCGATCAGTGCGGGGAGGGATGCGGGCGCGGCTGGCTTCGCGGGCGCGCGCGAGTCCTTCGAGCGGGCAGGCCTGATGCTGCGCGACCGCCTGGAGGAACCGAACGCGATGGAGAGCCTGGGGTGGAGCTGGATGCTGAGAGGCGCGAGACGCGGCTTGCCGTGGCGCGCCGCTGGCGGCTGGACGTTGGGTTGCGCTGGCTGCTGGCACGGCGGAAGGTCTCCACACACATGGTCGAGGTATTCGCGGGGCATTGCACCAGCGTCGGTCTGCTCGTGAGGCAGACGATCTCCGTCTTTCACGCTGTGTACAAGTTCGCGCAGGCCTACCCCACGGGGCTCTTTCCGATGTGGAGCTCGGCGAGGGCCGAGTTTACCGCCTTCTTGGGGCCCATGCCGCTGTTGATCGCTTCATGGGGGTTGCCCTGGAGCGGAGTGGTCGACGCCAGCGACGCGAGCGAAAGCGGGTGGGGAAGCTGCTCTACGTGGTGGGGAGCTGAAGTCGCAGCCCTACACGGACGCGTGCCCGGAAGGTCAAGATGCAAGTTGACTTCGGCCTCAGCCAGAGCCCGCGCCTTGCATCAGGCTGGCTTGGACTCTTTCGACGAGGAGGAGTCGGAGCTCTTGGGGGGGGGGTGGGGGGGGGAGTTCGAGGAGGTGGAAGGCTTCCCCGAGATCCCGAGGCGCCTGCTTGACAAGCGGGATTGGCGTGTCACCCTTCGGGGCCGCTGGAGAGCAGCGGAGCACGCCGCCATGTTTGAGGCCCGAGCGGCAGTGGCCATGCTGCATCGGGGCGCGCGGGGGCGGCCTGGCGCTGGCGTTCGCAAGTTGTATCCAGGAGACAACCTGGGGGTGGTGCTAGCCTTCGAGCGGTGCCGGGCACGAGATTTTGCAATGTAGACTCAAGTAAAAAAGTTGTGCGCGATCTGTCTGGCAAGAGAGATTCGACCAGCTATCAGGTGTATTCCGCCAGAGTGGAACGTCGCAGATGAGCCCTCAAGAGACCTCCATGGTGGCCCTCTCTGTTTACCGCAGCAATCTGGGCTCGAGCTACGAGCAGGGCGGCAGAAGGTGCTTCCTCCAGAGCGGCAACCGACGGCGCATGCTGCCGCAGGCTGGGCCAGGCGCGACGGGGCCGCCGAAGGCGGGCAGGCGTGCGTGGGAGCTTGCCGCCCCTGTGGCTGGGCGGCCGCGAGCTGGGCAGATGGCGCTGGGGCCGCCGAGCAGGCTGCGAGTGCTGACCGAGGACGCGGCCCCCGGCCCCCTGACCTCCAGGCCGCGCTGCAGGCGAGCGAGGCTGTCCGACGCCCTCGAGGATTGCAGGAAGGACGTCGTCGCCGATCCGCCCGTTTCGGAGGACAGCAGCGAGAGCCTGTCGGAGCTGGCAAGGGAGGCGACTCAGAGGGCGAGGAGGCTCGAGAGGGGCGTCGCCCTCGACCCGATACGGGGGGCCACGCACCTGGACGGGAAGAGCGCGATCCCGAAAGTGATGGAGGACTACCGCCGCCGAGGGAAGATAGCGCTCAGCTACACCCAAAGGCGGCTGGTGCCCGCCAACAACGCCGACGAGGTCGACCGACTGCTCACCGACCTGATGAACACAAGGTGCCGCGACGGCGAGTACAGCAGCTACGGCGTCGAGCTTCTGGGCGCTCGGATGGCAATCTACCGCGAGGATGGCAAGTTCGACTCGCAGCAACCGCCCAGGAGTGGACGAGCGCTCAAGGGCTGGAAGCGACTGGTGTCACTGTGGATCCTGGTGTGCTTCAGCTTCAACCGCAGGCCCTGCGAGAGCCGGCGCATCCAGCCAGAGGACCTGATAGCCCCTGTGGAGGGCATGTCGGAGCACTAGGGTCCCGACCAAGGTGGTCCCGACCAAGGTGGGCGCCTTCGACAACAGGCTGCTGTGGGACGTCCCCTATCTGGGCTTCACGATTGCAGTGTCCTCGGTGCTGCGGAGGCGACCACAATGGAAGCCGATGTGGAAGCTGGACTACCCGCCCGTCCTGAGGTCCATGAGGATGGCGACGAGGCTGCCGAACGCCGATGCAACGCCGTGCCGCATGCGCCACTCATGGCCGAGCTGGGGCCAGATGAAGAACGCTCGAACGCTGCAGCGGATCCAGAAAAGGGGCAGGTGGGCGACAGCGAAGACCCTGGTGAAGTACGAGGAGCACGGCAGGCTCGCCATTCGGAAAATGCGAGGCACACGTAGGGGAGTTCGTCCTGTGTTTGAAAGCCGTAGACTGGCCGCCCCTGCCTGGAAGGAGGGTGTTTTCCTGGATCAGTTTTCTGGCCCAGGCGGAGTTGCTAGAGCGGCCAGAGCCGAGGGTTTCAGAGCTGTAGAGTGGGGCCGAAAGTTCGGTGAAGCCTTTGATTTAAGCCGTCACAAGCATGTTTGGATTATAAAGAACATGATCCGTGACGGCGAGGTCATTGGGGCCTGTCTGGCCCCGCCCTGTGCCAGTTTTTCAATTGCTAGGGATCGGACCAGGATGGTTCGCGACAAAAACCACCCCTGGGGCCTTCCCGATCTCCCAGAGCATGAGCAGTCAGAAGTAGATCACAGCAACCGTTGCCTTCAGTCGCCGTTGCAGATAATTCGCTGTCTGAATCTTTTTTCGACCCCTTGGGCCTGGGAAAACCCGCTGACAAGTAGAATGTGGCTGACACCCCAGGCCCAGGCAATCGAAAGCTTAGACTGGGTGAGTGACATAACTTGTGATTTCTGCATGGTGGGTACCCCTTGGAGGAAGCGAACCCGCATTAGATTCGGCAGCGTGTGTGTAGAAGATCTAGGAAAGCTTGCACTGATGAGATGTCCAGGAAGAAACGGCTTCTGTTCCCGCACTGGCAGGAAGCATTTTCAGCTAACGGGGCGTGGGCCCGCAGGAGCTCGATGGACCGCCATCGCAGAGCCCCACCCCCCAAAGTTGTGCCGCCTGGTCGCACGAATCCTCTTTGAGAAGGCGTGATCCCAGAGACAGCCGGCATGGTCCAAAATGGGATAACTCTCCGTGTTTTCGGGATGCCCGAAATCTTTTCGCGCTGCGGGACGTTTTGAAAGCGTTCTCCTGCTCCTGGGAGCCGTTGTGACCCAGGAGCTCTCGCCGCGTGTGGACAGCTTCACACTCTTTCGAGATAGATCGCCCACCAGAATAGAGCTCTCCCAGTAATTGATGTGCGTTCACAGGTTTGAATGGGAGTTGCTCGGAGTCATGTTGCCTCTGCGTCTGTCAACCGCAACCGTTTTCCCTCAAGTTTCTCGCGGCCCAGTGCCATGCCCTGTTTTACCTTGCCCCGCTTCCCCTGTCTCTTGAGACGGGTGGTGGTCGACGACTCGGTCAGGATGGAACGCCCGCCAGCGGGCCGCCACCTTCACCGAGTAGCGCCCGCTGCCTTAGTCCTCAAGTCTCGACTGACTTTGTCGGACTCGGGACGTTTTGGAAGCTTTCTCCTGCTCCTGGGTGCCGTTGTGACCCAGGAGCTCTCGCCGCGTGTGGACAGCGTCACACTCATTCGAGATAGATTGCCCACCAGAATAGAGCTTCCCCAGTAATGTTCAAGATATGCCTTCAACCTGTTCAAGATATGTCTTCAACTTGTAAATGTTTAAGATCTGTCTTCAATGGAGAGGAAGCGCGTTGCCAACACATCCCAGGTGTCTAACAAATGTTTACAGCATGCCGTTAAACGTAAAAAAAACACATGTTTGGAACATGTGTATAAGATTTGTCCTTGGTTTAGCATCGCATGTTTAATCAAATGATCGGACTGTTGGGGTGTCCATTG